ATTTGTTCCTCTTACTAAAAATTTGTCAGAAATTAATTGGGATTTTTTAATTTTAAAAGAAACAAATATTTTTCTTCTTTAACCCTAATTTTTTCTTTAAGTTTGATTTTTCCTCATATTTATAGTTATATTATATAGTTAATAAACTACCAGTCTTCCTTTGACTGCAATGGAAACTAATTGTTGCATACAAATTAGTTTAAGAATACTATGACTATTAAAGAAAAAATGAAACTCAAAAATGATAAATTTGAGTTTGTTAGAACTTAGATTAACTATATGTAAAATTAATAAATAATGAAGAAAATCAATCTAATTAAACGCCCTTAAACAAAGAACTCAAAATATAATTAATAAAACAAAGTGTAGTAAAGTACATTTGGTAAGACAATGGATCAAATACAGCGTGGGCATAACTAAAAGAAATCTTGCTTCATCACTTAGTATCCAAAAATTCAAAATATTCAAAATTTCTCAATTATGTTACTATCAAATCATTAAATTATGATTTAAATACAAACACATTCTAAAACTACCAAAATAATGTTATTATTTTTTTTAACAATGAAATAAATATAAAAACTACTAAACGCAAAATATATTATTATACATATTAATTTTTTTTTTCAAAAACTTAGGGGGGCCATGGCCTTCTTGGCCCTAACAAATAAGCTCCGTCCATTCCTTGGCCCCCATCCAGCTTTTTTTGAGCTGGATCTCACTTTGGCTGATGTTCTTGATAATGGTTCTACGAATGTCATTGCCTGGAATCTTCCCCAAAATCTCTTAGATCAAATGAGAGCTATCCCAATCTCCATCGTTGTTACTAGGAATGACGTGACTTCTTTGAAAGATTCTCCAGATGGAAGTTCTCTTCTTCCCTGGCTTATCAGTTAGCCATTAACAATAGGGTCAGATATGGAAAATGGAGACCATGCTGCAAAATTCCACACTTTTTCCTAGCTCGTGGGAGACTTAAGTAACTTGAATTTCATCACTTGAGTATAACTTCAAACCCCCGGCCCTTTGCCCTCATTGTAAAGACAGGTTGAATCCATTGATCATATCTTTAGATTTCGTCTTCTTCTGTGGAACTTTGGACTAGATTAGGTTCAAGTTGTTTCCTTGGATGGAAATATTTCTTTTGTTTGTGTGGTTTAAAAAACAGGTTGCATATTTGCAATTGAAAGTTTAAAATAAAATGTTAAAATTTCATATTAAAATTAATAGAGACTATAGCCTCCTTTAGTATAATTGTAGTTTTGAATTTTGAGTTTTGATTTTTATAAATTTTACAACTCTAAACACAAAACTTATTTACTTTTATATGTTTTGCTAATATATCATTATGATTTTTAGAGAAATAAAAATAAAAATATTTTTAATACCATTAAACAAATAAATATTTTTAATTGTTAGTGTTAAAATTTATTTTAAACAAATTTTTAATTTTTAACAATTACAAATTTTATAAAAATTAAAACTAAAAAAATATTATATTTAATAATCCGAATCGTAAAACAAGAATTGTCTAATGAACAAAAAGCTCAATATTAAGAGATCCCAACTTTCACCAAATAATTTGTATTTTAGAATTTTGAATCAGTCCAACACTTCTTTGAAACTAAAAGCTCTATATCAAAGAGAGCTTAAATACTTATTTACAGTCACATTTATCAGAAAACCGCAGCTGAGAATTTTGCTGTGAGATGATTTAGGCTTCTTGTTGTACCATGTTTGACTACCTCAAGAACTAATTTTATTAATAAAATTTATTTTGCCAACAATGAATAAAAAAATTAAGCAAAAAAAGAACTAACTAATTTTTTCCTAGTAGCGGCCTAACTTTTGTACGAGACGATCCTCAATTTCCATCCTCTTCTTCATTAGCATGGAATACTTGTGAACAAGTTGCTGGTCTCCAGGAGTCGCCGCCAGCTTACAGTTGAGAGATGTCTTCTCCAAATTCCCGTACATACATGAGATGGGCACAAAACTGCCATTATTGTTGCACAGCCAACCATGTGCGGCCCTCAATGCTGCTCCTAGAGAAGCTGAATCTGTGAAGCAATTAGACAGAAAGGTAGTTCGGTGAAACACTATGCCTTTGGATGATGAATTAATGTTTAGACTTGCATTGAATCTGAAATGCAAGGAAACTAACAGCATACCTGGCTGTTGGACTGTAAAAACCTTGCAGCCAAAAATGGATGCAATTGTGTTCAGAATGTTTTGATTTGCAGATGCTCCACCAGTAGCTATGATTCGTTTTGGAGAAGGCATACCGAATCTCTCTGAATAAGCACGAATGGTGAGAAATTGGCCCTCAATCAAAGCCCGGACCTGAAAATGATTGTGCATTGTTTTTCATGGGAGTTTTCCAAGGAAAATAATCAGTCTATGGGAATGGACAATTCATAAGAAATAATAACCTCAGAGGGAGGATCGAACTCCTGCACTTCGCGCTCATTCAACCCCTCAACTGTTTCACCAGTGAAATTTTCAATAATGTACCTATGAAAGCCAACTGGAAAAACCAAAAAGAAAAGGAAAACCCATTAGCCGATTATATATTTTTTGAGAAAGCAAAGCTAAACGACTTGCAGACTACCGCCATAAAATTAAAGCGACATTTCATTTCACTTCCATTCCAAAGCTGATGCTATATGCATCTGACTTCTTAGCTATTGTTCTTGTGCCTAAAATTGTAATATACACAAAGAAACCATCTCATTCTCACAGACTCAAGAAAGATTCTGGACTGCAGATATATAATGTTAGTTTAAAAGTTTGTCCACTGCAAATCATATGTTCAATGCAAATTTTGAAACTCACCAGGAAGGGGAGGATGGATTTCATGCTCCTTGTAGTAGAAACCTAACTTTCCACCTATATATTGCAAGAATTAGAATGAGAAAACAGTACAAAAAAAGTAACAGGAAATATCCAGGAAAAGCAAATAAAACATATTTCTAACCATTTAGTGGAGGTGTTTCCTGCAAAAATTTATTGAAAACATCCCAGGACTTCTCAGCACATCGGTCACGAACATCTAGATTTAAGATGGTGGTCATAGTAAGTATTAATGGCTTCACATCTCAAACACATGGACATGGAAAGGGAATATGCATTACCTTCACGCATCAGAGACGCATTCTTGGTGCCCAACATTACCATATAGCTTTCTGTATCAACAGGATTAGGGAGGACGTGACCTTGTAATCTAGGTTGTGGATACTTAGTGATGCCAAACACCTACACATGCAAATTCAAATTAAAGCCAAAGTGATAAAACATGATAATTTCCCGATGGGGGAAGAAGCATCATTCTTCATGTAGTTGTCACAATATCAAGACATATATAATACAGAAAGTGAGAATCATTAAACAGAAATAAAACCCAAATTCAATAGTAATCACTCCCAAACATCATCTCTCGGGCGCAAAGCATAGGGAATAAGGAAAATAAATTTAGCAGAGATCAAACTGAAAAGAAAAATGGACTCACCAAAAAGGTCATAAGGAAAAAGATATGTAACGAAGAAAGGCTTGAACATCCAAACCCATAAAGTAAAAAACATCAAATTTTTGTAAGATGCTTAATTCGATTCCCAGTATCGAAGCAAAAGACACAGTTACCGTGTTATAGATATTGCATTAAAGAACGGACAGGTAGTTCGAAAAATGCTTTCTTTGCAGAGTAGGAGCATCCATTATAATTAAAGTTAAAACACATGAGCCTAGTGGGAAGACACATTAAGTGGTCCATTTACATTGTAATCAAAAGATTAATTTAACCACGGGTCTTGGTGTATTTAATCCACTCTTTCCTTTCATATTTCTTCAGTGTAGGATCTTGTTCTTCACACTCACAAAGGAAACATATAACACTCCCCCATTCACTTAGTTGTGAATCACTCCTTTTTCATTTTTTTGACATACATACATGCTTCATTTGAAACACATATTATGGGCACAACATTATCTATGGATATACTCATCATGGGTTTATATAACATACATTCTTACTTTTTGCTTAGCTAGGCTTAAGACCAAAATTACCATTGGCTCTGATACCACAACCACTTGTTAATGAGACATACGGCATAGCGGAGAGACACATTGAATGGTCCATTACATATTTTAATACCACATTATAATCAAAAGACTACTCTTTTGGTTATAATATAGTGTCAAAATATGCGATAGGTCACTCAATTTCTCCTGATTAGGTCATATGTCTCACCAACACTGACTATTGACTAAAACCAGTCTTTAGCATTCTATTTCCATACACATATAGCAGCAGCAAATTACAGACTTAAAAGGAAAGATAAAGAATCAGGAAAACTGCCAAAGAATACAAATGTCACTTACAACGTCGCTGGTCCCCAGGCTGATTGCCAGGTCTCCAGGTTTGTTAAGGGTTAAACCTGCAAGTTTTAAGATGCTTTTAACTGAGAATAAATTAAGAAAACCAATTAATATCTC